TTATTTATTTATCTACCCATTATATAGATTATAATTTACCACATGTAAATTTAATATTGGTCTTAATAGCAATGATACTAATAATATTATACACTAGTTATTATTAATATATATCTTAATAACAATAAAAAAATAATAACAAGTACTGCCAAAAAGATAAAATAAAAATGACATATTTAACCACGAGAGAATCTGCTGTCATGTTCAATTACCCGAGAGCACTGTGTTCAACTTTGGCTGAATTATATGAGTTTAATAATGTGTTTACTTAATTAATATTAAGGCAGTGATTAGTGTCTGAAGGTAGTTTTATTGTAAATATGCATTTAATACTTTGGATTGCTAATACTACCATAATTGTAATATTATATTTATTATTATATGAAGACAAACAAGCGCCAGCCGTCAAAACCGCTATTATCAATTTCTACAGATATTATCTGTTGGTAAATCTAATGCGAACAATTAGCAGCAGGACAGTTGCTAACGGGTTCGTTTTAATTTAAAAATTCAAAGCAATTAAACTAAATAACCTGAGAGAAGTAATTTAAACTAGCGCTATGCCGATAAGACATTCTGTCTGGCAGTATTAGTATGGTTAATTATAATAATATCAGCGGTAGAATTATGTAAGCGGCTATTTCATAATACTAATATTATCGTAGAATTTATATAATTTGCAAATAGCGGTAACGACTTTGACGTTATTTCCATAATCTCCGAGTACAAATCCATTAAATTATATATATATACAACAGAGGAGATTAAATCAAGTTGTCAATTGCTAAACTAACATCGACGATTCTAGCCTTCCGCATTTATGAAGGCACATACTAATAATCTATTTTTAAGGGCTGTGAGGAGAATTTAAGTAAATAAGTAGAACGGCTTTATATAAATGTTCTGACAACGGACTGCACAAGGTTACGAATCACAAATCGTACAAGTTTTTGCGGTACACGGTAAGTCGGACAAAATTGCTCTACTACTACCCTTTTCTTTTTTTTTCGTAAGTCGGGTTTCTTGGTCGGACGGCCATGCCCGTGTCCGACTTACCGAGTTTCTCTACGTATTTATGGCTTGTCTTGTGACTTACACGCTTAATACTAAATTTGGTATAGTTGCCGATCTGGGAGAATATCACGTAATTTAGTCACATGAGATATACCACAAATTTACGCGTTTCGAAACAATAGAGTGCGGCTCACCGCTTCAAAACTCGGATTATTTCAATAATGGGCAAGTCACCACAGCCAGGCTCACCGGGAATAAGACGTTCCCCCCGATTACAGAAAATAGCTGAGAATGCAGTCAGTAAAAGACGGCTGAGTGAAACACGGAGGACGTCTTTAGTGAGTAACAACTGAGAATGATGTTTAGTAAAAATCAAGATAAATAAAGATTATAAGTTTGATACGCCTGAAGGTCGATACAGTGGCCGCATCTTGCAATCGCTCTTACTAATGATATTATTTCTTAACACCAGGATCCTAAAAAGAGTTGTCTGAAACAGGCTCCAACCGATAACACGCTAACCGATCTCACGGCTATATTTCAAAACAATGATCCTCTTATCACTTATGGTCCTATGTTTGATGATCCGGGGACTGTTACGCGTCTGGATTTTGATGATGCTGTCAGGTAGAGAGCGATCTAGAACTGTTTGATCTGATTTAAGCGAGTTTGTTTGCATCAAATTGCCTATTACTCAACAACTGCTCATATGCCATATTAAGAGAAGTCGAGTCGAAATCAAGACGGAAATCACTTCGTAGAGTTAGCTTTGCGGATACAGCACACGTGCGGTATGCATTTTTGTATTTACTGTAACAAACTTGACCCGTTATTGTTTAAAGCAATTAATTATTTAATTTGAATAATTACAGTCTGTTTGAGCAAGACAACGCAAACGATCCAGATTTACACGACATTGCGGTTACTGCGCCTATCGATATAGACCTTTTCAAGTCTAGTGGGGATGCTCATGAAAGTGCAAATACCGCTCCCGTTGATACGAATACTGTCGAAGGCGATTTGCGCGATCATACGATTATTACTCCAGTCGATATGGATATTGTCGAATGCGCAAATGTTAAACGTGATTTCACGATTACTACTCCGGTTGATATGGAACTTGTTAAATGTAATGTGGAGAGCGATAACATAAATGGTATTGAATCCGGTGGCGGTCAGCGCGATTTCACGATAACTGTTCCTGCAGATATGGACATCGTCGAATGCGCAAATGTTAAACGTGATTTCACGATTACTACTCCGGTTGACATGGAACTTGTTAAATGTAACGTGGACAGCGATAACATAAATGGTATTGAATCCGGTGGCGGTCAGCGCGATTTCACGATAACTGTTCCTGCAGATATGGATATTGTAGAGTGTGAGGGGGGTACGCGTGAGTTTACTATAACCGCCGCCATCGATATGGAAATCGTTGAATGCGAAGGAGGACTGATGGAGTGCGAATCTAAAGCCGAAAACGACGAAGTTAAATTGGATACGTTGCGAGATTTTATCAAAAAGGAGGAAGGAGAGGAGGAAGAGGAGGAAAAGAAGGAAGAGGAACAAGACATTCGAGATCATGAGGATATCATATCACTATTGCCTCTGTTATCTATGAAAGAAATATTGGACAAGTTAGATATCATATTTGCAGGTGCCCATTTTAATAAGCGAAGAGAAACTATTTTCGAGAATGGTAAGTACGGTTAGAATATGCCGTAATTTTTTGATTTTTCTCATCGATGATTTCGTCTTATTGTAAAAGGGAATGCAGCTGCAACTACCACACCAACCCTTGTCGATGCCGCGTCCATTGCGTGTATGTTACCTCAGCTGAAACTTTTTGAATCTGTGAGTAAGGCGATAGCCATTTACGCGAATAGTATAAATTTCTATCAAACTTTACTTCACTAAAAAAAGTCGTTGTCTGCTTGGTGTTATTATTTATCTAATTTGTCTCCTACGTTATTCTATATGTTATAGGGCTATCAGTTACTCAATAAATCTAATACGGAACTTCAAAATGCCATTGAAAATATTGTGAACGACACGGAAGTTCTCTCTCTTTTCAATGAAATAGTGTCTCTCCCGCCACACACACAACATCTTATAAAAGTGCGTATACGTAATGTTTTATATTGTGAAAGAAAATTATCATTTACTTTTTTTTGTTTTATAGCAAAGATTGCGATTAATAAAAAAGCGATGGAACTTAATTGCAAAGAAAGATTGGTACGAGTGGAGAGAATCTGGTATTGCGAGTGTAAAAGATCAACTGAACGAGTATTTTGAAACGTTGAAAAAGGTGAACCTTTATACGAAAACAATGAATAATTATAATTATAAATTATTAATATTTATTCATTATTGTATTTACAAATAGGACAAGGAAATGGTCACTCGACTAATACAAGAATCAAATGATTTATTACCAAAGTTGCGTCTTTATTCTCAACAATTGTCATCAACTTTATGTAATGCCAAATCAAGATATGAGCAAATCGTAAATTGTGATCATGAACAACTCAAGAATTTGGAAGAAGCGATAGAAGAGCAAGATGTACAGATTCGAAAGAGACAGAAAGACTTAGATCAAGTCTGTGACACTATCACTATTCAGAAACAAGTAAACGAAAACTTAAGGAAGGAGATAGCGGAAAAGAAAGAGGTATTTTCCTGACCCATGCTTAAGTATTGTGTTACGATGTAGATAGCGTACATTTGATATGTATTGAATGAGAACGTTCGTGTGCAGGCATTGGATGATGCGTATAAGCTGATTAAAGCGACGCGTCGTTATACTAAGAAAGTACTTGATGGCTTTTGTAGTAAGTGTAAAATTAGCCTTAGTTGTTTGATTATGTTCCTAATATTAACTTCAATTTTTTCAGCCAAGTTGGGAGAGGTTATTGAAAAGTCAAAATGGATGCCTCATAAAATGTCATCACAAGTTCTCGATATTATTTACAACAAAAAATTACGACTTGTAGTCAATTATAAGCAATCTCAAACTTGTAATTTCGATTTGTCTCTTGTGTCTCTTGACGAAAATTCAATGAATAAGCAGTTTGTAGGTGATGATTTTACTCAAGAATTTGCTGTTTGTAAATTTTGCTTTGATATTAACTTGATGTTTCGTTATGTAGTATGATATAGCGCTATCCAGTCTCAAATACCTCACAAAGTCATATCCTTGTCCGGTAACCAAGGAAAAGGTAACACAATCATTATAGTTAAATGTATGATTATATTCAACTGAAACCCGCACGATTTTATCTAATCAATTAGACTCCTGAACTAGTTCAATTGATAACCTCATATTGGGAAAAAGCAAATTTATTATATGAAGAGATCTCCACTATACGCAAGAAGTGTCCAATCACAATACATTCAGGAGAAGCAATATCCGAGAGCAAGGGCAACTCAGTCGTGCTTCGCGTCACAGCCGAGTTTATTAATGCAGAATTGCGAACGGACTTTTTTGTTGATTTCATTTTTAGGCCTGATAGTATTATTGAATATCCTGCTATGGATGGTGTGTCATGTGTGATTAACGTAGATTATGGATTAGATGAGTAAGTCGCAAAGGATCCTCGGGAAACTATTTAATTAAGTTAAGATGATAACCAGGTTTTATTAACATCATTTATTATTTCATTACAGTGTGAACCTGATCTCTAGCATTATAATGCAACGACTGTCAAGCGGTAAGAGGACAGGACTAATAAGAGATGCTTGCGCTGATGTGATTACAACATTAGAAACACTAGCCAACTCTAATAAAGAACAATGTATATAATAAATAATAATTTTTTTGGGGTATTTATTATTGCTTAGACTTACATGTTAACTGTGTAAGTAAGTGTGATGGACGTGCATATATGCCTTTATGCATGGTTTTTGTTTATATTTTCGTGGCTATGAATCTAAAGTAAATAGCTTGGGTGCTTTTGCGTGAAAACCCTGATTTGAAAGTTTTATGTAAACAGTGGAGACAGATATAAATTGACAAATTCGAATTCGACTCGATAAAATAGCGAGATAAAACGATTGTTATCTTGTTGTACGTCAGCCACCAACGGACATAAATAAATACTAGCCCGACCTTTCCTATCAATACGACCGTTAGCCGTAATCAGGGGGGATGTGTTAATCAGGCGTAATAACGCGCCTCAGAAGTGTAATGATCTTTATTATCACATCACTCTCCTGTAAAGTAACCAAGGAAAGACAAGGATGCAATACATCCGTTTGTGAATAGACCCCTCATCGAATTTACATTAAAGTAGACTTTACTTAATTTATGATGGTACAAAAATACATATGCACGTTTGTATATCTTACAGTCGACATCATGATTTTAAGTATCGAATGATAGCTTTTTACAGCCTGGTGATCGTACAATCGTTCTTAATTTGCAAGAGCAAGTAATTACAGAATTATATTAATACTAGAGCAATTAATAAACGCGCAATAGTTAATCGTATCACGTGATGCATCGTTCATGGGGCGCACCCATAATAATAAAGGCTAATGAACGCAAGCGACTTTACATTCTCAGCTCAAGTAAAATCGCAAGTGAGTAATTGCGTATATACGAGCCTCATAATAACAATAATACAACAAAAACAACAATTTTAATAGTGCATCCCGAGGGCAATTTATTGTGAATCTTGCGACGTGATTACGAGACATCGCAATGTTGTCTACTACCATATGCAAAATCAGATATGTTGGTATTTTAAATAAATTATATGTGTGAGAGATTTGGTAAGAGCGCTGATCTACGAAGGGGATGAGTCGCGCCTCCATAAACTAATTACGTGTTTAACGGGTGATTTCCGCGAACGCCACGATCTTTGTTCCATCGAATCTTGATCGTAAATCGGAGACGTCGGTTGCGAGTCTTCGCTAGAATTGCCACCACTACTGACATTTCCGTCTTGAATGGGTCTTCTCGGGGAAAGACGTCCCAATAACTTATCCTAGATTTCGAAATTATCAATTAGACCAGTAACCAACGTCGAATCAAACAGCTACATGTTGTATATACTAACCAATACAGAGTCAGCCCCAAAGAGCCCAGCAAACCCACGAACAAACTCTTGACTTCTCTCTTCCCATACGGCGAATGTTTGTTTAACATCACTTCTTAAACCCGAGAGATCTTCCTTCACCCCATGCCAATTTTGTTGAATATCTGACAATGATTTCTTCACGTTGAGCTCTTGTTCCTTGTAAAAGCAACGGAACGAGTTAACTTTGAAAATACCAAGTAAAATAACAGCAACATTAAATTGATATCGTCAAGCTTCGTACACGCGAAAACACATACTTTTAAGAACCCAATATTCAATTCCTTGGGAGTAAACCCTCTCTCAAGATTCCTCCTAACATATTGATCGTAATCTTTAACGATCCGGGTGATTAAATCGGACGTTGATATTCCTTCTGTCCGTTTGGTTGGGAGAAATTTCCCTTGTGCCTTTACGAATCGGTATATATCATCCTGGTCCCCTGATGCATACGGAATATCGTCGTGGGCGACGAAGTCAATCTATAAAGCAAAAATCGTGGATTAGGGCTGAATGTTTGTAGGATACTCCAAACAAATTATTGAAAGAGCGAGTAATTACTTGATGCTTTTCAAGAAATTCCTCTCCTATTATCCAAGGAGCGTTGGGAATGACTTCATCCACCCAGCGACAGTGTCGCACTGATTCTACTCTTTCATCCTCGGTAAGTACGGTTTTGCCCTTACGGGCATGTGTGGTTGCGTCGTCGCAAACTGTTGGATAATATTATAATTGTGCATTTAATATTCCGAGCATCAACAAACCCCAATAACTTATGTGTCCGTTTTGTTCTCTAGCAAATATCATTTCCCCTCACAAAACGAATTATGTCCATACCTCCAACTAACAGATAAACGTTTGGAAAAGACTTCTTCGCCTGTTCCAGCGATTTTGCGTGTCCCACATGGAACACGTCATAAATACCGTCGCAGTACACTCGGACTGCTCGTCCAACAGGCGGAGGGTTGATCTTAAACGGATATTTTCCTGGTGTATACAAGTCGGCAGTCCAGCCTGCAACTGCCGCATTGACGGCCAGCTCGTTCGAGCATTTTATGGGTGAATGACTTCCATTTGCGGGGGGAGGACTCGGGAGAGATTCACTCGCATCATTTGTGGTTTGGTCTCCCGTCGGTTTATGTGTATCGTTGTCGAGTTTTTGACGTTTTGCGAGATGAGACATTATTATAGTTTTGATGTGATAAGATGTGGTGGAGCATGCTGAAACAAAAACCAGTGAACACAAAAATTCAGGGCTCAAACTGCTGAACGCCACAGGTCAGTCTTAAACCCCATTTGTCATTTTCGTCATAATTTTTTTCTCCAAGTCAATTAAACCGGATTGATCAAGGTCGTTTCTGGGAACTTGTTGATGGTTGGCTAAAGGCGGGTAATGCATTCAAATTTTTGCGGAATGAAAAATTGGCCACAATATTGTATCACCATATCCGCATGGTAATGACATGTGAAAGGTCCACGAGAAAAGTGTTCTACAGCACATGAAAGAATTCATCACTGAAACATGCGTCAGTGGTTATTAATTATTGCACGATTTCGTATCAAACGCAATCAATTTCTGCATACCATAAAAGTGCTCCATTGGAAACCAAATTGCTGGTTGCTATCAGATACAGACGTTAATAATAATAATGACTACCTGTGATTAGGTTATTGCGCGCTTCTATGATTATATGCAAAAATTGACCACTTTGAGGACAGTCAGATTTCCGGCAATCTAGCGATAATCTCTATTTGGCTCAACCACGATTACTAATTTCTCTGTAAAGAAGTTCGAGCAACCCCGCATTGTGGTAAAATTTTTTCGAGCTGCATAAGCTCTTTTGTTGTAGCCCTAACATTAAAAATAAAATAGAAAAACAAATTAAAGGCCGTCGCGGTTTTTCACTTATGGAGGGATGTAGATGAAACGAAAACGGCGGCCGAAAGGCGGACGTTAACACCATTCTGATTGACTTGAACGGCAGTAGAAAAACAGATCAAACGCTTGCAATCTCTTTCCTGTGAGGGATTATGGATTGATACGAATAACCCAGACAATCCAAAATTTGTAATAATAGTAGAGGATACCTTTCGTTATAGCAAACTTTTGATCAAAGAAAAAGTTTAAACAAATGTCGCAAAAATCTGCGACTTTTATGAATTTAAATAATGAAGTATTAATCTATTGATCGGATAGAAGATAAATACGACGGATGGAGACTTGTCAATTCATCTATTAGGAGTACGAAAAATTTGGCCCGTTTTATATTAACTATGTGAACAGGCAAACCAAGGTTGAATCTTAAGGTCGGCTAATTGATTGTTCTCTCGTCTTAGCATATCTCAGGGTCAGCACAAGACTTTATACTTAACGTGACTATGTAAATAATGGTGAAACTAATGCTACTTCGATCAAACAAAATGAGGTGTGAAAGAGACACAACCCTCGATAACTTTGCGATTTAATTGTACAAAAAAAAAGTCTAAGAGAATAATAAAACTTGAGTATTCGGCTAAAATTCGATAAACAGACATTATAGACATATTAATTCTCTCATTTTAATTGCTGTACCGCGGCATGTCGTGGTATGTTAATAGGCAAGCTTGAGATTATAATTTTATTATTAGAGCCATATTGCAATGTAGCTCACATGCCTTTTCAATAATATTTAAGCCCGTAATTTCAGAAGCACTTTTCGAGATGCTTTGCCAGTCTGGCTAATACTAAGATGTTTAAGTAATTTGGAAGTATAACGAAGATAAAAATTAATAACAGTTTAACGTACGATCGGTTGCATTTTTATGAGATGTGAATTTGGATTAAAAAACAGTCTTTCTGTTACCAATGATCCATTATACTACGTAAACTTTTGATATTAAATTGCGAAATTAACATTATTAATTCTGTATTTGGAATAGACTAGAATGTTGCTTGTCAAAATGATAGTTCATTCCTCAATAAATATTCTTAAACTTATTTTATTCTTTTAAAGTCGTGTGTTTTCGGTTTTTAGCCAATCACGGTTACTTTTCCAGTAAAATAGCCGTATTTTTACAAGAATAATTCTTGGTGTATATGGAGATCAACCGTTGCGCGTAGCTTCTGTAACTGCCTTGGCCTAACTCGTGTTGAAAAAGTTGAATGCTTTTTATTACGCTCAACCGACGATCCATTCGCACTATCCATGACATATTCGTATTATTATGTTTCTCTGACGTTCCGTCCACAAAAAATTTGGTCTTCACAATTATACCGCATCGTTATATTTAGTTGTTATCATCACTTGTATTTTTTTTCGCGACTTGGATAGGCGATTCATCAACATGTTTTACACAATATGAACGCGTCGTTGACTGACAATGTAGCGGAAGTTTCCAAGGTAACAAACGAAAGCAACTATCTGGAGCAAAAGAAGAAGTATCGATCAAAGAAAAATACCAAGGTCGCCAGGAAATGGCAGAATCTACTTTCAAAATATTGGACGCTTGCGGTTAGAAGATCACACAATGTAAGAAATTCTAGCTAAAGACGAATGTGACTGTGAGTATAGTCATTATAGAACATAATGCAAGAATCTACGTAATATTATTGCGACGATTAACATTTTAAACTCATGGCAAGCCCATACATTTTATTTATGACACAGTTATTTACTATATTTAACAGACGTAAAGTATGTCGATATTATTTGTGGAGATAAGAATAATATAGTATACAATAATCACAGTTAGGTAGTATAATACCAGATAAATTAACGTTCACGCTGACAACACACAGAACTATCAGACCATCAAGCCCAATGCGTATAGACGTGTCATCTATAAGTGTTTAAATTTGTCTCAATACAGAGAGAGACACAATAAAGCCATCGAAATAGAATTCTGAGTAAAAATGAATAGAAGATTTAGGAAAACAAAACGTATAACAATAGGATATCTTCAAAGATTGCTGCACACATATGCAAGTTATGCCACATAAATAATGTAGAAATTTAACGATATCAACTCCACTTCTTCTCCAGAGCATACATTCCTCATAGGTTTTCCTGTAGACATGTATGTGCCATATACTTCTTCAAATCCCAACATAACACATATTTAATGTGTGAATCTCTTTCGCCAACCAGCCCCAACTGATGCCCATCTTTCCCATTAATTTTTGCTCATATTGCAATAGTTCATACATGAATTTCAAGTTCGGTTGAATGATGACATTCAAACGACGAGCACGAACGAACAAATAAGATGAGACAAGAGAACGGTTGAGGTGGCGCATGATGTAGGCAATTGTAATTGTGGCAGAGCGTGAGACACCCACACGGCAGTGAATCAGAACCTTACCGTTGGTTTCGCGGGCATTTTCTGGATGTAATGAAAGAAAAAAAATGTGGGTTGGTAATCTTAATTGATTGTGAGATTGAATGATCTTCGCTTAGAGCATTCGTCTGATTCTCATTCGCCATGCTCTTCTTCATCCTGATCCATTCATACCAATCAAAAAATCGTGTCCCTTCTTTTAATTCCATCCCAACTTATATCCCTTCTACTTACCAATAAAGTTTACACATCCATCTAAATGTTTCCACAGGCTATCAATTCCATCGTCAAATAAATTATCCAAAAGATTTACTTTAAACTCTGTTGGGTCCAACCTAGCATCTTCTCCAACAGACAAAATGTGCGTTATCCCTAATGCTTTCAACATTCCACCATTACATGCATGATACAAGTTACCCAAATACAAGAAAGGTAGAATTCTACTGGGAAAACTCCCCTCGAAATACGATGATCGGAACCAAGAATGTTTCGCATATATATCCTCTTTCTTTTCTTGTTCCTCGTTCCGGGATAGTTTATGCTCCCAAACAAGGTTTTCTATTTGCATCAAAGCATGAACATCATTATGGTAGACAAAAAAGCTCCTGGTTTCTTGCAGTTTCAAATACGCTTCCGGTAACCGTAAATGTTCTTTATACATCAAATATGTCAATGCCAATATACTCGTTTCCGTATATCCGTCAGCACAATGAATAAGCACTCTTCGTCCATACTCATTTGCTTGTTTATCAATAAATTCGCATAGAGTTATCAATTGTTCTCCTGCGCTGTCAATATTTCCGTTAGCAAATGTTGAAATACAATCCAAGTTGCATATCTCTGTAGGAGCAGCAGGTGGAATAGACGTTCGAAGAAGAGTGGACGAAGCGATAGAGAGATCAGATGATGTCGGCATATCAGCAACGTCATGTGCTTCGATGCAGATGGAGAATTGATAAGGGTTGTCATCAAGGAGAGAAGTTGTTGAATCGGCAGGATCACACTCTTTTAGGACAGGCACGTCTTGTGAATTCCCGAGCTGAGCCGCAGAAGAAAATTATAATCAGTGAATCAAATTTCTAGTCAATAACAATGAACGTCTAAACTTCTATCGATTGATAAAATTATACGCTTTTGTAGTAACTACAACAAATCTTTGTAGAAAATCGATATTCACCCAAACATTGGTCGAGATTTCCAAGGCGGCAGTTAGTAAACGCATTTCTTCTCGCTCTTGTTCTAGGAAATTAATCTTGTTACGTATGAAGCCTTGGCTGTCTATCGAAACGAGATCCGGGAATTCCTTTTCAAAGTAAGAAAAAGGCTCTGCAAAGAATGTAATTAGAATATACGTAATTGGAATGAGTAACACGACTTATTAACAACCACTGATGCGATTGACGATAACAAACATCCAAAACGTGTAGTTAGGGCGCATGATGGATGATAAGCGTAGCAGCGGTTTTCACGTTTAAACGTACGCTGCATTGCATGCTTATCGACAATATCACCCTCGTCAATTCAATTGACTCACTCAATTCTGATCTCACCTATTATGACAAACGTCTCATACTCTATTCCATTTGGTCTTGTTTCGCGTAGATATGATTGCGCACGAGAGGCTTGTTTCGCAATTTCCAATACGTTCTCATCCAGCCCGTGTTCTCCATATACAATAATATCACTAACCGTGGCATATTTTGCTACTTGCCACTTAAAATTCCTTAAGTTAATTCCTTCACCACAATATACGTCCAAAAAACCTCTCGTCTCTCTCACGTTTCCCGTATTAGAATTTAGTATATCGTCAGGCAATACGGCACCGATTAGCTGACACTTTTGACCTGTTCCTTCAGCAGATACAACAGTTACTCCTCTATGCGGAGGCACTCGGATTTCGGTAATACCAAAAAACTGATTTTGCTGTGTGCTTCTTCCGTCTACGCCATGCAACCACGGGAACAGCAGATCGTTCGGGAGAGGCGTGGAATAGTATGCCTCATGAATAAGATAATACTGTGCCGCGGATAAAGCACGTACAGGGGGATCGTCAGAAACGAGGGGAAACGCGTCGAATACTGACGATGAGGGCGAAGGCGATCTGGCTGCAGTTGGCGAGGGAGGGACTGGAGATAGGGGGGATGTTGGAGGAGTGAAAGGTGAGGGCGGTTGCTGTTCTACCGTTGCCATGTGTGATATAGGGGAATAATAGAGATACGTGTGTTACGTATGAAGTGAAGGTTCTTTATTAAATACCAATCGTTGATCGTCGATAACGGGATCTAAACCCTTTGTTATTATGAGTAATAACTGACAGCACGCGGTAGAGACAAAATGCTTTGCGCTGAACAGGTAAAGGTTCGACAATGGTAGTTGTATGTCTTCTTGTCGCCGTTATTGTCACTGCTCTTTGTTGCTGATTCTACGAGTCGTCCAAGGTTCAAAGAGTTATTCCTACGAGTATTGGTGCGAAATGACAAAGTTCTTTTTTTTTTAATTTGGTCCTTGTTAGGGTTCACATGAGTAGCACTTGCGTTAACGTTGTGTGTTACGTAAGTCAAGGACAGCGTGACAGCTGAATATGGAAGAACATATGATACGGGGCTGTGTTTATAGTTTGAGGAGAGACTGCATCTTAATCTACAAACAAACAAGTAAAGTAAATTTTAGGGATAAGATAAGTACTGATTACCTTCGACTGGTATTTGAAGTTAACTCTACCTGAAATTCTAGGATTTCGATGATCTACTTGGTTTCACTATTACGGGACATTAATATTGAAGAAAAAGATCGCTGAAATTGTCAGCTTAAACTCTTCGTTAGTTTAATTACGCTGTACTTGACCGTATTACCCATCTTCCGTACGAATAGACCGTTACTGCTTGTCATTTTTTCGTCGTGCGCGTGTCTGAAAATTCCTGTCACATTCTAGTTACACCTTTGGAATTGTGTATAAACTCAGCATTTAATCAGTCATCCCGGGCAATAGCGCGATTAAAGTATGCGTAATCATCAGACAATCAATAATTGATGCATACGAAGACATAGACCTCACTTGCTGTCTTGTTATCGTTTTGTGTAAAAAAGAAAAAAGGTTCAAACATTCTAAAGCGTTGTATCGATATGCGTTTCGTCTTATGATACGCAATATTAATTATATAAAAAAGGCAAGCCTTTTTTTTTTGAACATTCCTATCGAGGTCTTTCATGCACTAATGTGGAAAATTCTCATCGACAGTGATCGTCGTCGCATTGTGCTTTACAATACAGTGTTTTACTCTCTTTCACAATGACATCATCGTTGTGGAAAGACCGTTGAATTTGAGCATGGGAATTAACTAAACATGGATGACAAAACATAAACATTAGTAGATAAGTCGGACAAAGATTCTTTGTTCTTTTGTATGTAAAGTCCTCTCTCGATACGTCGAATCCCTTGATAAGCCGACAGCAGATGCCGCAACCCGCCGTGTCCGATTTATCGAGTTTAATAAATGTTCTTGAAAATTCGAAATGCACATGATCACTTTATCATCTCACGTTAGAGTTACACAGAACAGACACATTATCAAAATTCCGTTGTAATCGATAAAATTAAAAAAGTTTTGACCGAAAACAAGGGCCTGGTTTTATCGCGTGCTGATGAAGATAATTTGTCCTACCTAAATATAGCGGAGTCGTGTTGTACGGATGGCTTCAATCAGACTCAGATAGACATTGCTAGACAATGCTAGACAACATCATTTCATTGTCTAATCCGTATCTAAAAACCAGCAAAGCCCGGAGAAAAATCCCACGGGCGCCATTTACATCTCTATCTATCCGAAGTTGACATTCACTACATTCAAATATTTTTTTTCCCCCAAATTCTGATTTATCCACCCACAACGACTACATGTCTTGCTTGTATATGCCTCTCCAACTATCTTAACTTCCTTTCCAAACTCTTCAGCCTTTGAAATCAGCCTTGCGCGAAATCTCCCATGAGCCCATGTCATCATTTTTTGCACCGTTCTGTTATTAATTTTACGATGTCGTCTCCTAGCCATTCGGCTATTATTAAAAGGAGGAGTTATGATGACATCAAAGCTACAAACAAGCCAGAGTGCGGTTTGATGATGACATTCATCAATGAGGTTTTTAATACGTTGTCTCATGCACGGCGCATAGAATTTCCGTGAGGGTGCTTGAGCTGTGCGGGAGATAAGGTTGTCAAGGCAAAGAGAGAGACGAACAATCCTTTGAGCATCACCATTGCCAATACAACCAGAACTATATGTAGGCGAATACCTGAAAATTAATAACTTAGTTTAAGATGTTATAATAATAAAATATTATATCTAACCCCAACTCACCATGTTAAGAATGTGCGAACACCCGGATCTAGTGAACAAACGTTAACACCCCCCACTTGGTTCTCGTGAGGGGTTACACGTTTCTTCTCATAAACCCAAATAAATGTTCACTGTTGTCTGGATCGATTCCATACTAATTTAGAATCATTATTTGCTTTTCCTTCCAAGTTGGGCCAATTAATTATTTTTTTTGCGATGTTCATGGTGGAGAGGTGGATGTGTATTTGGATTTTTATGTCGAGGATGTAATGGGTCATCAGATATCATAGCACGAGTGTGGAGAATTCTAGGATAGAACTTGAGATGATCAAAACAGTTTTGTTGACAGATCGTGATGGTTTGATGTAGTTCTTTGCGATTACGAAATGAGAGACGATGACATGGCAGGCCTCCTGCAGCTCGTG